CTCTGCCCTGCAAGATATTCCATTGCAGATCTGCTTAATTACAATGGAGCCTCAAAAAAACCCCAGTCTGCTGCAAGTTTCACTTTGTACATCTCCACTGTACATGGGTATAAATATGTTCAGCTAAGGAACCCTTTTATAATCCAGAGCTCTAGCAATACAAGCCTTGTCTACACTACACAATTTTACAGTGTTTGAACATGGTTGTGAAGAGCTGACTACAATTTAGCAGTCAATACAGACCACAATAAATTGTGCTCAGCATCAGGCAGCTAACTGATTAAATCCTGATCTCCACCAACCACTAAATCATGGTCAGCATTTGGTTATCTAACATGATTGTTCACAGGTGTGTTCAATCACAGTAAAAGTAAAGGCTTCAGTGTAGATGTTCAGGGGTGCAGGCCTGCTTACCTGTGTGAAGATAACCCTTTTTATATGGTGTATATTTCCTAAAGCTCAAATTAATATTAGGCAGTTCAAAAAATGCCAGCATTCCAAGGGAGAGTAGAAATGATCTTTAAGCTTCTGCAGGTTTCCTCTCCCTGTTTGATTTCAACCTAGTTGTATTTTTGTTTGTTTCCTTTCATCTCTGTGCAGTGTCAGGTTGTAGGAACCTTCCCAATGTAATGCAACAAAACAAAACTACCCTTTTCTACAGCAATTGCCCCAAACACTGCAGTAGTTGTATTGTGTGCTGCAGTGTTTGAGAATGTTACTGTAGAATTTTTTTAATGCTTTTTATAAAATAATTGTAGTCTTTTTCAAGGAGCTAATGGGCTACGGTCCTTTAACGAGGACCTACAAAGAAGTTTAAAAAATGTTACTTCTATATGTGATGAAGATGGTTGGAAGTGGTTTTCCCCCCAGACTAAAAACATTGACCTAGTCCTGCAAAGATTTATGCATGTTTCACTTTACTCACTGTGGAGTAGTCCCACTGAAGTCACAGCGAAGTTAAGCATAAACATGTCTTTGAAAGATTGTGCTTGTGGTTTTTTTTGGCTTCCCTCCCCTTCCCATCAGGAATATCAGGCCTGCTTGAGGTTTTCTTAGGGATCTCAAATATGTTTGATATGAGCCCTTACATCCTGTGTGAAGGGATGGGCATCTTGAGTGCTTAATAAAGGCATCCAGTCATTATAGAGCCTTCCCAGTGAGACAAGACCAAAACCAACGGAACTAATTACTTGAGTAAGGTTTAGTTATGTGCCTAAAGATTGCAAGACTGGGCCTTAAATTCTAACTAATTGGTCTGTGTGCTTGTTTGGATGACCTGCATACCAGGAAGGCAGCATGAGCAAGAACACACATTTTGGGATGCTGTTTTTACACCTTTCCCCTAAACAACATTGGGGTGCAAAATAGTGGTCCTGTGGTGCAGGAGGACTGTTCAGGAGCAAATCTTTCTCTGAGAATCACTAGGACGCACTGCAGTGGGTGTGAGGCTCTGACGCTCAGTATAGGAAACATGGCTTCTTGTGCATATTTCATATGGGTGGTTAGAAACCTCAATCCCATTTTCCCTAATCACAATAATACCATTTGACCATTAGGACAGCACATCCCTGAATTATTTGCCTAATCTTGGGTTTTCACTTTTAAGCAGTTATCTCGCTGATTTTATGTTTTAAAGCATACCTGTCAGGAAGTAAAATAATCTTTCATGCAACTTTCATTTAAATGATGATAATTAAAGACTGCAACTTTGGGTAACGTGTAACAGATTCAACAAGGTTTGAATCACCTCTGAGGTGAAGGAGGACCCTGGATCTCCCCGTGAGCAGGCTGGAACACTTTCACGCTATTCCACTCAGTAATCAGAAACATGAGACACTGGGCCGAATCCTGCTTACCTTTCTCATACCACTAATTTCATTGACTGAAGCTAGTTTTGTATTAGACAAGCAGTATCCAGCGAAGTGCAGAGAGTTTAGTTTCCTGCTTGGCGTTCTCATACAAAACTGTGCACCTCCACTGTAGACAGTGTCATAATTATTTTATGCATTAATCAAATGTGGCAGAAAAAAGGCTCTTTGAAGGGAACAAATCACAAGTATCAATGGTTTGATCTGAAGTTTGCTCTTCATTATGGCCATAAATCTTCTCCCATAGAATAAAAAGTGTGGAAATGTACTACCGAAGTCTTTAATTGTTATCCAGTTTATAACTCTACAGTGAATGCAGATTGCACTGAGACAAAAATCAGATGCAATCTGTATTTGTAAAGTGCTTTGCAAATGGTACTTTTCCTCCAAGGAACTCAAAATATTATTATTATAATATCAGTACTACTCCGTATGAAAACCAAATCCCATAAGTATGAGAAATCCCCAAGTTAGTTGGGTTTGTTTTCTGGAATCCTTTGCCAGAATTCAAAATGGAGGGCAGTGTGAAGGCCACAGCAAAAGTTTTCTTGAAACTAGGGTTACCATATTTTGAGCCTCCAAAAGGAGGACACTCCACCGGGCCCCGGCCCCGCCCCCCCCCCCGCCCCAACTCCGCCCCTTCCCCTGCTTCCCACTAACATTTGATTCGCGGGAAGCCTGAAGCAGGTAAGGGGGGTGTGGGGGGAGGAGGCGCGGCCCAGGCTGCCCCCCCCGACGTTTCCAGCCTGGGTCGGCTCGGGCCCTGGGGTGCCGGCCCCGGGCCCGGCCCCCGGCCGAGCACTCCTGGCCCGCCCAGCACTGCCGGTCCCCGGCCCGGACCCCGGACCCCCGGCTGAGCACCCCCTGGCCCCGCC